TTCATACCAGCATTTTCATAGACGTGAACGTGAGAAATTATCATTTGAGTTTAACTTCAACGAAGATATACCAATTTGTGCATAACTAAACTCGTTGTCGTATTTTACCGTCAACTCTGCATGTCGACCGGTTTCAATTCACATCTTCGAGCTCGTAACACAAAGATGAACAGCCGTTGTAAAATGTTGACAAGCAGACGTTTCAAACGTCGAAGTATCAGCTTTCTGTATTCAAGATCATGGAAAAAGAGATTGTATAATTCATAGAAGGAGAGATTGTATCATTCTTCGGAGAAACAAATTTCAAAGATCTAACTAGGGTTGGTCGTCTCACATTGAATAGATGTGGTAATGGTTCAGTTAGTCTGATGTCTTAATAACACTTTGTCTATTTTTGTACGCTACTTTACTTGTAGAAATGATCAAATGATTTGGAGAGCAGTTTGGAACAGATGGGAACAAAAAATTACTGCGATCCCGCTGTGAGAGGACGCAAGTACAAAATGTAAATAATATCAAAGATATTTTAAAAAGGGCTAAATATAGACGACTAATTAGATGCTTTTGAATTTTTTCTTTAATGATGTAAACAAACTGTCACTTGTAAAAATCATTACAAATCATAAATTTAAGACTTCCTGTCTCAAAGAAGGGGTTTTACCTGAGGAGTGGTTTTGAAGTTATTTGTACTCAAGGTTCTTTCTTGTTCCGATGAATGGGTAAAAGCCAGCATGAAACTTCTAGATTTCAGGCGATATATCCATCTGGCCCTCTTCGTTTTTCTTCTTCCTATAAGTGTGGCCTCAGGTGAGAAATGAAAGAATAACTTGAAATAGTTAGCAATCTACGCGTGCTAACATCAAACGACCGGACTCTGCCTTATAACAGTTTCGCGTTCAAATTTCAACTGAGTTTCATGTCAAATCGAGTTAAGTTTCAGACGCTCAAATTCTCTTTGTGTCAAGGTGGAAGATGATCGTGTCGTGTCTGTTATGCGATAGATACCAATTAATTCAACGGTTTTAAAAAAACCCCTACTGTTTGTCCAAACTTGTAGAAGTTCGTTATAGCTCCTAAATAAGTAAAAAACACTTGATGTGAATATATCATCTAAGTCAAATTTCAGTAATGTGAGTTCGATTTCGGCGCCTTTATGGAACGGTCAGGAGCAGTTTTAGCTTAATATCCATCTCTTAGAATACAAAACCGTTACCAACCGTTACTTTCCTTGGTAGGAATTTCATAAACATCTTAATCTCTGATGTGAATCTTTTCCAACGTTGGTATTTACAACTAACTGCAGTGACACGTTGTGATAAAAATACAAAAAGAGAAAGGCGAAAAAGCTAAATTCGAATTCATTCGTGTACATAAAAAGGATACGGCGTTATTAAAATTTATCTAATCTGCCGAAGGGGTTTTCGTCTTAAGACTACGAAAACTCTGGTTGTCATTGCCGTTGTGGTTTTTTTAAAGTCCCTATCATCGATATCAGACTTGACAAATGATATCAGCGATGAATATTAGAAAAACCATTAAATTTTCACTACTTAGATATGAAATATCAATCTTAAGGATGTCGCTTTTTACATGGATATTCATATAGTTGGAAACTTGTCTGGGGAATACTATTCTGGCCGTCTTCCGCTCCAAATTTACTCTTTAGGGAACAGTCATTATAAATCATCTGAAGGGATCGGGTGTTTTACGGAGGGAAACTGAGGAGAATGTGCCACCTTTCTATAATATCAAGAAATGGATAGACATTCTAGTCTTCTCGGATAAGGACGAATAAACCGTAGCTTCCGTCTCCTGCCGCATCTATTAATAATTTGGTTAGGCAGGGGACGTTAAAGAACCCACTCACGAGATTACTGTGATGTGGTCTGGCTTGTAAAGTATAGTGTCAACTAGATAGCAGATCCACATCAGCAATAGCTGCCATTTATTCAACCTGCTTTACCAAATAAAGGATGTATGTATGTTTTTAGGGGGAATGTTGTTACTAACAGAATATAAAGGGAAGAACTATAGATAATTGATTGCTAATGAACTTCCAGAGCCTTGTGTGCGGATCAGGTAAATCTCATCTAAAATCCTCCAGTTTTTCACAAGCCCTCAGTCGATTCGTATCGCTGAAAACTATCTTAAATACATCAGATCTTGCGCAAAGCATTTGTTTGCAAAACAGACTACCTGCCAAGCAAATATCATATCGTAATCTTTCTAGTTCATGTTGTTCAAAGCTGGGTTAAAATAACTCAGGGTCATTTTGAAATCTGATATCAGTTCTGAAAGCTTTAAAAGAAACTTAGGTTTCATTAGGTTTGTTAATAGATGTTTAGTTAATTTTTGTTGCATGCTCTAAAGAGGTTAGAGAAAATTATCGGAAGATGGCTTTTGAATTAAGGAATAAAGAAACCCAGATTAAAAATCAACCTTGGGTAAGGGCTAATAGGTCTTCGATGAACTGCGTGCTGGTCTATCTGACGTTCTAAATTTATGTTGACAAAACGAAAATCTTCTTTCAAAAAGAATTTTGTCAATCCTTATAAATTATATCCTCTTAGACTAGATTCTTATTATGATGAATATTTTCACTGCTTAGATCGTCTGCAGTGTTTTGCATGAATAATATTGGTACACATGCTTATTGCTTTTAATTTTAGCTGACATCTGTACAGTTTCAATCTGTTACTGTCGATCAGGATTTAATTGTTTGAGTCCTATGGCAAAATAAAGCTAATTGACTGCGTACATTGATGACACCTTTAAAACAACACAGTTTATTAAAACAACAGCTAATTTTTCAAAGTAAAATATTTGCATTTTATGGCTTAATGGGGCAATGACTGTATCAAATAGCCGACACATTGATTTATTCAATCCACACAAGTGGTGGAATGGCCGATTCATCCTTTCGGCAGGTCGAGTTCTTTTTGAAAATTGCAGGAAAAAAAACTAGTATAACTATAGGATGCGGTGAACATTCCTTCAATCAGGAGCATGTATTGATACAAGCACCTTCTTCCCCATTACATGGATGTTAAAATGTACCTACCCATCATTCCCTAGCAATGAGTAGCAAATACAATGATCCAAAAAATGGTCCAATATTCCACTCCAATTGTACTCTATGTCTTTCTGGAACATTCTTATTTTGTCCTGCGTGATTAAGTTCTAAAGGTGCTTCTCTTTTGGGTATCGCTGAGTGCGTGCTTATTGTTATTTTGCTATTGTGTTGCAATGTTCAGTTTCCGGCTCGTTACGTAAGGTATTTCATACCAGCATTTTCATAGACGTGAACGTGAGAAATTATCATTTGAGTTTAACTTCAACGAAGATATACCAATTTGTGCATAACTAAACTCGTTGTCGTATTTTACCGTCAACTCTGCATGTCGACCGGTTTTAATTCATATCTTTGGACTCGTAACACAAAGATGAACAGCCGTTGTAAAATGTTGACAAGCAGACGTTTCAAGCGTCGAAAGAACATCTTTCTGTATTCAAGATCATAGAAGGAGAGATTGTATCATTCTTCGGAGAAACAAATTTCAAAGATCTAGCTAGGGTTGGTTGGTTGGTTTAATTCTCTTCGTTTCAAGGTGGGTGATGATCGTGTCGTGTCTGTTATACGATAGATACAAATTAATTAAACGGTTTTCAAAAACCCCTACTGCTTGTCCAAACTTGTAGAAAGGCGTTTTATCTCCTAAATCAGTGAAAAACACTTGATGTGAATATATCATCTAAGTCAAATGTCAATAGTGAGTTCGATTTCGGCGCCTTTATGGAACGGTCAGGAGAAGAATAAGTTTAATATCCAACTCTTGGAATATAAAACCGTTAACAACCGTCACTTTCCTTGGTAGGAATTTCATAAACATCTTGATCTCTGATATGAATCTTTTCCAACGTTGGTATTTAAAACTAACTGCAGTGTTACGTTGTGATAAAAATACCAAAAGAGAAAGGTGAAAAAGCTAAATTCGAATTTATTCGTCTATGGAAAAGCATACAAATTTTGATTTCAATTTTTGGAATCGTCAGATACTCTCAAGAAGTATGAAAGAATATTAAGGGAAAATTCTGTGAAAATTGTTCGGCAGTGGGTATATAGCCAGAGGGTTGTTATATGCTAATAAGCTCCTATTTGACTTTTTCCTTTTTCGGTTTTCATTTTTTTATCTTTTCTATGACAGCGTAATTGTATTTACGTGTATACAAGTATGCAAACTTGAAGTACTTTTACGATGATTGACATTAAGATTTTGCATTTGACTCTTATGTCTCGTGATGTCAAAATTCCAGTATCTGGAATCCAAAGTTTGGAGTGAAGTATCTGGAATCCCGTTTACAAATTAAGAAATCAGGTTTTTTAGCGAATATAAATATGAAGAAATCATCTCTTGTCAGAGAAAGGTACTCTCGGTAGTTGAAAGTGTTGGTATCTAATGTTTTATTTCTACTTCTGTCTGATTTTCATTGACTGGAATACCTCGCTTTCAGTACGTACAATTTTTCAAAAATTGTTTTTATTCTGTCTTTCTCTGAAGCTAACTGTAGGAGTCTTAAAAACGACAGTGGATTAATTCCAAGCGGCACAAATGACCCAGTGACCGGCAACACATCGAGTTCATCACGGTGTGAAGGAAAAGAAAACACTAACTTATATCTACAGATTGATCTACAGACACGTCATTTCATCTGCCATTTTTTTTTGTCCACTTATGGGGGTTCGAACGAGGGTGGGACGAACTATACAATGGAACTATCCGTCGATGGGACAAATTGGACAACCAACAAAAATGAGGTGACAACTCTATGTTAACTATATACATTCGATAGCCTGACTCTCCATCGTGAGGCAAACGTTTAAACGTTTCATTTATTGATAACTCTATGTACATTGGTTTAGTTTCCTTGAAACGCTTATAATGAAATTGAAAAATTGCCATTGTTCTTTTATTATCAAATTAATAACTTTAAGATTTTTTTTAAAATTGAGATCTGTACACACCGATGCTCGGTTTTTTGTGCATGCCTTAGCCTAAGTCACAGCCATTTGTGAGCTAATAAAATGCTTAAGGAAAGCAAGGTGTCCAAGTTATAAGGAGTAAGGGGGGGTTCATTTAAGTAAATTTATTCATTTTCGGGTCTCATCATTGTACTATTCAGTGAATGAGATGTGTTCTATAAATTGGGGCTTTTGATTTTGAAAGAAATTCAGGAACTCAGGCTCGGTGCTGAAAGTCCACGACAACGCAAGGTATCTGCGATTCTGGCTCAAAGCAGGTCAAGGCAAAGTGTGTATGACCACAGAGATTTTTGGAATGGAGCCAGGAGAAGGTGACTAGTTTACTTTAAAAGAAACTCCAAATTAAAAACAACATCGATTGAACGTGAATGATTAGTTGGAAATGATTGAATCATTTACCTAGAGGGAAGGTCTTCCTCTGTAGCATATTCTCGCATCAAATTCATACTTTGGCAAATTGAGCCGCGTACCGCATTGACTTAGGCTATGCCCAGATACACTTATCGTGGTCTCTGCTCTAAAATGAATAATTCACATACTAAAAGTAAAAAGATTATAAAAAAGAATTGCTTCTGTGAAAGTGGGAAAAAATGTCACATTAATAGGACCTGGTATGAGATCTAATACAACACATATAACAAATTTTAACGTAGGGTTATTTGGTTCATTACCTTTTTTTTCGGCAAAAGTGGTCGACCTATTTGACAATGAAATTGATATTGATCAATTCCACAGGGACTACCGTCTCATATACAACTGGTAGAACATCCACCACAGCAGAAACCACTATACCAACTGCTTCTACTACTGCTAAAATAGCATCCGCCGCTACCACAGAATCTATCACAGCGGAAACCACTAAATCAACAAAGAACTCTGGTAGGATTAGAGCACCAATGTCCATAAAACATTTGCTTTAAAACTCTACCTGTCTGGAATCTCTTAAGCAGAAAGGAGAACGCTGCAGCTCTCCCAGCTATATATATATTCCATGCCTAGAAATTTATTGACACGGGAGAGAAAAACTAGCAGAGATACTCTAAGGATGGGGGAATTTAGTTTTATCAACTGAGTTGATAACGTAAATTGGCCACCGTAAAGGGTTTCAAAGCTGACGTTTCGAGTGTTAGCCATTTGTCAGAACGAAACAGAGCTATCGCTCGAAACGTTTGCTTAAAACTCTTTAGGGTGGCCAATTTGCGTTATCAGCTGAGTTGATAATACTTAATTACCCCGTTATACTCTTCCATCGATGCAGCACCACAGTTTCTTTAGAAACTTAACCCCTTTACCCTGGGGATATCCTAGTAGCAGGTAGGGAAGACGATAACTAGAGTAACCTTCCCATTGGCTTGGGTTATGTCAGGTATTCTAGGGAACAGAAAAAACTTGGTGCTACACTTTCAAGTCGACATGGGTGACCCTGGGGTTATTCCATTAATTGCCATTTTTTAGTATACTTCGGCGAAATTGATCGATTTAGTCGAAAATCAAATTGATATTGGTCAATTTTACAGTGACTACCGTCTCCTATACCACTACTAGAACATCCACCGCTGCAGAAACCACCACGCCCGCTGATGTTGACATTATGACAACCGAGGACTATGGTAGGATTAGAGCACAAGTTGTTATGATATTTATATGTTTTAACCCTGGGGTTATTTCATTAATTGCCATTTTTTAGTATACTTTGACGAAATTGATCGATTTAATAGAAAATCAAATTGATATTGGTCAATTTTACAGTGACTACCATCTCCTATACCACTACCGGAACATCCACCACTGCAGAAACCACCACGCCCGCTGATGTTGACATCATGACAACCGAGGACTATGGTAAGATTAGAGCACAAGTTGTTATGATATCTATATGTTTTAAAACTCTATCTATTCAGAGGTACTATAGGAAATCTGAAAATAGCAATACTGGAGAACTTGAATCTCTTTAACAGAAAGGAGATCGCAGATCACGGCAGCTACACAGCTATAATTATATAGAACGAGATCTGCGGAGGCAGTAAAAGTGATTCCATTCATTTGATAGGAAAACAACAACTCTATCGCTATGCTGCCTATGCTCTCGCCGGAATTGTTTTGGTCTTCCTCATCATAATTGGCGCACTAATAAGGCGGTTAAGACAAGCTGTGAGGACCGGTAGAAACATTGTTACAGACCATGATATCCCTGTCTCACCTGCTGAACGGCAAGAGTCAGAGTCTGGTCACTATATGGAACTCAGGCCTCCTCAAATGCAGTCACCTGAACCTACGTATGAGTCATTGCAAAGCAGATACTCGACTCATTATTACAGCAATGTAGGATTTGTGGGGGAAAAATCAGGGAATGATGATATTAGAGTTTATGAAAATGTTGAGTCAGGTGGTATCGTCTGAAATTAAAGTTTAGATATCACATCAAATTTTCCAACACAAATTTAAGTGATCCTACAATCTTATTGGTTCGTGGTGTGGGTGAACTTCTCTAATTTGTCCCAATAACTAGGAAACAAACGTTATCTTGATATAGTTGAGTGCAATATCTTTATTCGAAAGAAAAATAAAGGAATTTGATGATGAAGTCAATTTAAGGATGCTCTGTTGTCTAGTTTAGTCTTTCACCCAGGCATTGTTAACCATTGGTTCATAGACACAGTTGTTTGTTCGAAAACATATCTATAAGGCAATTTGCTGCAAGCCCTAAGTCGGTTCGTATGGCGGAAACTATGCCTGAAGTCTTGAGTACATTACGTCGTGGGCAAAAGGTTTTTTCACCAAACGGACCTCTTGCCCAGCAAACAACATATCTTAACTGATGTTTGTGGTCAGTCTATTCAGTTATACACTCGATTGCAAAAACGTTGACACCTAATAAGCTTGATTCACGAACGACAAGACCCATCACCTTTATGGGAAATGTTCGCACAGATACACAATCAGTGATTTACTTCTCTCATTATTCATGGAAAATCTTTTCTCATGATAAAACGTTTTCTTCCGGGAAAGTTTGGATAGCTCTTTGCTGAGTCTCATCGTTCATTATAAACGCTTGTTGCGTGTCAACGTTTTTGCAATCGAGTGTATCACGATGTTGACAGGGAGGATGTTTTCTTCCATTGAGAATTTTGTCCAGCCTCCATAAAGTATGTCGTCATAGTCCAGATCCTTATTTGTGATATGAACACTTTCTTTGCTTAGATCTTTTGAAATGTTCTGCATGAATATACTTGTTACACAAGTTTATACTTCTCGACTAACTTTACTTGATATTTGCTAGGCTCCAATTTTGTTACAGTCGGTAAGTGTTTTACTGTGTAAGCTCTGTAGTAAAAAAGAAGGTTCATTCGTAAATCTACATATGGAGGCTTCCACGCGTGCAGGACCCGCCTTGCACCAGATTAATTCAAAAAGGTGTAAAATATGAGAAATCGCGCAGCATGCAAGCATAAAAGTTTTTTCTTAAACCTATCAATTCGCTCTAGAGCGAATGTATTCCTCTTAATTTTAGCTCATAAAGGTTCGTAAACAACCCGCGCCAGGAGATTTTTTCGCCTCCCGAAACTGCAAACCAATGGGACAAAGGGCCTTAATGGCGTCAATGACGATGTATCAATATTCTCGGGAAAAGTAACCCATGGCAGACACCTTTTTTTTTTTTATTCGCTCAGTGGAGCGAGGAGGACGACACAATAACGAGCAAAGTTGCCAAAGGCAAAGGAAAATGTGCTGAAAAGCAAGACAACGAATCGACGGTCAGCTTTCAAAATTACGATTCAAGGCGATTGTAAATCGGTTTTTGTATCAAGGCTGGTACTTGCATAAATAACAGTAAACCTCTTTTTTAACTTAATGTATGACAAATATTGTTTTACGCGACTTATTTGTCCGCCAGTACCAGTCGCTTTCACCAAAGACGTTTTTCTTATCCAGACAGAATGGTACTCCTTCTTTCTTCTCAGGGTCTGGTTTTTTTTTTCTTTTACCAAGGACTTTCAGCTCTTACTTGGTGGAGAAGACACATTATACGTCACAATAGAACTTAATCACCACCGGAAATGAGAAAACAATGAAATAATAGTGTGACGTATACTGTGTCTTCTACACCAAGTCAGAGCTGGACTTTTCTTCTGCTTTCGATTTTCCCATAAGCAAAGAGCTTCCACGTGAAAATTTTGTCAAGCGCGCGATGTAAACAAAATATGCAAATAACATGAAAAACGAACCCCAATATGAGCCGTTGTCGTGAAAATTCTCCCAGGGATTCTTATGACACCTTCCTGATTTATTAATTTTTATTTGAAATTAGGTTTTTCTAATAACTCTGGTGCTTTTGGAGGTTTTAAGACTTTTTTCTTGGAAACGTTAGGTAAAATGTCTGAAGTCAGTTTGGTCAAATAAAAGAAAAAACGTTTTTTTCGGCCTCTGAAGGTGGGAAGTATAAGTGGAGCTGAAAATTCAAAAGCTGGAACATCCTGGGACATGTCTCAATTCCAAAACTTCCCGCGCATTTCGCTGGAAACGAGCATTTTCTACTTGCATTTCCAAGGCTATGCTTTGAACAATCAGACTGGACACGGCCGCGGAATACTTGGGTATGAGGTCAATTTTCTCTCTACCGCGAGTGGTTCGATCGATTAATATACAATACTTACCCCATCCCCACAGAGACAATGATCTTAAATCGTAAAGTATGACTAAGAAAAATGCCGATCGGGAGGATTTTCGGGGCGCAGACCACCTCCGCATGGACAACGGTCGAAATCGAAGTGTGCAGCCTTGACTTAGTCTTTTGACAGGAATAACAACAATGGTAAACCAAGCTTAAAACGGCAGAAATCGTCAGAAACTACAACGGACACACAGAATGTGAGTAAGTTTTATTGATTTTATGTGTAAAATGTTCATATTTTGAAATACTTGTCGTGGTAAATCGACCATATCTGAGGGGGGCATTGCGATTTTCGGTTTTGCGGTTTTGGCGTTCATTGCGGTATGCGGATATTCTGTTTTTTAGCATTTGGTTTTCGCGAAGAACACTAACGGGTTTTCGGATTAAATATCCGACGCGGTTTGCAGTTTATCCTATTTGATCTATTTGACCGGTTTCTCTTCGATCTAAGCGCAATTGCGCGCCTCCACTTATCTCGAATAGCCGCTAAACGCAAATGTTATACAGAGGAATGCGTGTCAAATCAATTGAAATATCGCAGGGACCCCTAGGTAGCCTACGTGTGGCCGTACCCTCCCCCTGGCAGTGACGAAGCGTGAATATAATCGTAAAAATCTGTCAAAGTCTGCCGATTTCTGCCCCTTTTACCGCCACATTGAAAACAACACTATTACAATGCAACGCAATTTAAGTGCTACACTGCCTGAACCAACTTTGCTTTAGAGTAAAAGTTAGCGTGATTTTTCAAAGCATCGTTGAATCAGATATCTCACGCCGACTCACGAATCAGCAGAGGGCGCATTAAGTTGTCCGTTTTCACGAACGTCACATATCTGACCCGGAAATCATAAGTAGTGGGGCCAATATTCCGAAGTTCCATGTTGTTCAGATGAACTAACAACGGCAACATGTCGGAGCTACATTTGAAGATACACATTCGGGTAGCTTTATTTGTTTTTCTTCTTCCTCTGGCTCTAGGTAAGCACGAGAAATACATCAGTGAAATGTTTAGGTTTATTATGATCAAAGTACCGGATGTTACGTGTTAATCGGCCGTGAAGGCAAACTTCTCACATTGCGTAACATGCAAAGTCAAGCCGAAATTGAACTGCTATATTGAATTATTTTCAATTCATTAACAAGTAGAGAATTTCGGCTTTGTAATCTTAATTATTCACATGGTTTCATTCAGGAAACACTTGTTGCATCACGATTCGAAACTTCGTAAATATGTGCTAACGCTTATAATTCTATCCTCGCTGTTTCGTCTCAACCAAGGTTTAATATACAGTAACACTTCACAGTTTCGACTGGAAGGGTTTTGGTCGTTTGAATTACGTTCTCTCCCTTTTTTTTTTTTTCACTACGATCTCTGGTACGATACATCTAGACTGATATATAGACTTTCACAATCATTGCGGCCAAAAAAACCGAAGGCTAAAAATCTGAAGTCTACGGAGAAAATAAAAAAGTTATAATGAGTAAGAATTTTTTTGGTTAAAAACGGTTCAGTGGTTTAAGCTTTGTGGAATCACAAGGAAAACTTTGTGTTTGATTTTTATCTATCAGCGTAATTAAAGGCGAGAAAGTTTCAATTTCTACTGTAAACACTGCAAAGTTGTAATATTTTTCAAGGCTGGTATTACTATGTAAATCTGACACTTGATTGCCCTTCTTTGAGGCTATAAAAAGCGAAAGGTAACTACATGTGACCGCAATGTTGGACGTAGTAAAACTGAAAAAGAATTCTGTTAGCGGAGACAACACGAAAATTACATAGTCAGAGCAAGCCTAATAAAATGAGAAAGAATTGTGATAAGTAAACAATTAAAAATAATCGACAGTAAATTGAATTAATTTTATCTATTGTCGTGACTTTAGACTTCTTTGTTTACGTCATTCATATTCAGTGACACGCGACTAAACGCAAGCTTTGCCACAGAACCGTGGTGAACGGATAAAGTTTCAGCCTTGAAGCTTAAATTTCTTACTAAATCAAAAATAAACTCTGAAATTGTTTCAAATTTATAGAATTCAATCGAGTATTCTTCCAAGTTCTCATACAGTAGTACTTTTAGTTATGTTTGAGCAACCTTGGCGTTATATCAGTGAATGTTGTTTACGCGTCAAGATATTGTTCGTCAAATCCCTAGCTTACTCGAAATAAAATTGCCATTTTGCGTTTATTTATATCTGAATTCGTTTCTCCTGACACTATATCAGGAAAATAGAGTATTTCTAGAAGCAACTTCGCTTAATTCTCAAAAACATACATCATCTTACAGGAAAAATTTGTGGTCGGTTATTGTTTAACTCTTTGGAGAAAAGAAGATATTGTGCTATATCGTTTGTTTATCTAAACTGCGCTTGGTAACAGTGATAAAAATAAATCAACTTTGTGTAAGCATATTTGTTTTCAGTGAACGAAATTGAAAAGAAGAACCGTGACCTCCAATTAAGTTAACATCAAATAACAGTCTTTTTTTTCAGTTTTAGGTCGAGTGTGCGGAAAAATGTATATTTTAAGCTATAGTTACTTATGAGTTCATGCTTTTGCGGTTTTTGATCTGACCACTAATGTCCGTGAGTTATGTTGGTGTTTCAGCGGAGATGTAATACAGCCTAAGGGTAAGTTCCTTTGGGATGATCCGGATTAGGATTTGTGATATCCAAGATCACACCGATCGCGTTGCATTGAACGAACGGAGCTTCAGTTCATCAGATCAGTTACCATGACTGCAGGCGCGAAATTGTAGGGCGCGTCAGCGGAATCGCGCGCTAAATTTAAAAACGAAAACAAGATGGCCGTCGCGGATAGAGCAGCTGTTGTTTCGTGAATAGAGGAACTTTCCGATGATTCAATACTACAAGAAGCGAGAAGTTGTGTAGATGAAGAATTTCTATTGTTTCTTTTAATAAGGGAGAGGCAGAGCCATGTTCGCATTGAGAATTATTTCGAACGTATCGAACCACTCTTCATTGTTTCAGATTTTTTAAGTCATTTTCGGATGTCAAGAACTACAGTTAGCTGTTTGGAACACCTGTTAGCTACTTGCCTAGGTCTGCCTCATGGGCAAAGGAATGGGGGCAGACCTGCCATTGACTTACAGAAGCAAGTATTGATTACGATATGGGTACTTAGGAACCCTGAATGCCTGCGATCTGTGGCCGATCGACTTAACATTACAAAATCGATTCTATTTCGTGTTTATCGCAGAATTTGTGGAGCAATCACCAACAATCTTTCCGGTCAATATATGAAGTACCTACTTGTTTTAAATGGAGCACCGTTGGGCAAAATGATTAATTTCGGATACTTCGCCCAAAGGAACGCTTTGGATCAACGATCCAATGATCACGCAGATCAGGCTTCAGTCACTGAGAGATCTCTGCCTTGGAATTTTGAGTTTTCATCGAAACTCGCTTCTCTTTCGTTCTTGTTTTGAATTATTGTACCAGGTTATCAGATTGCAGGAAAAATAGTGCTTCGGACTGAGTAGAGTGTCCCGTGCCGCTGTGCCAAAAGGAGCTGAGTATCTCGGAAAAAAAGGGAACCCAATATCTTTTTTCATACAAAAAATCTTAAGGTCTGCTGTGAAACGCGATGAATCTTGTCTCTACTGCCTTTAAACGAACATCTTAGAGTATACAGAATAAGAGAGATGGTAAGTTCTGAGCTCGGTATGGTCCAGAGCATCGGAGCGCGGAATCCGAAGGTCTGAGGTTCGATTCCTTGTGGGGACTCAGAATTTTTTCTTTGTCTCACGCTCGTGACAAGACGAAAAACATCTTTCTCTATCCTAGAGTAGAACCCGCTAACTCGAAACCGGTTAACTCGAAACCTAACTCGAACAAGTTGCTGTTTCCTTTGGATTTTGCCTCATTTTTCGAGACATTTATTATTAGCTACCTCGAAGTCGGTCAACTCGAACTAATTTTACTTTTTAAAGCTTAAGTTTACCTTGATAACTCGAGCTTTAACTAGAGACGTTGGTCGAAACGCCAAATTGTTAGAACACAGCTGATCGACACTTCCTCATCTTTAATCGCGATTGATGCGAACGTGATAACATTTTATGAAAAGTAATGTATTAAGCTAAACTTTCCAAACTAAACGTTGTTTAGAAAAAGTTCTTACAAAATAAGCGAAATGCGCGAAAATGACTGTTGTTTGTGCAAGGATAATATAAACACAATTCCTTATTAATTTTTATTAGGATAATTGAAATTAAACATCAACCGCCGATGTTGTGTCGTCTAGACTCAGTCAAGTTACTCCTTTCATTGCTATTGCTCAACTGAATTTTATTAAAGAATCAACAAGCTATATTCACAATACAATACTAGGAATCAGTAATATTACTTTTACATAGGAATGTACTTTTATAATCATGTACCGATCGTGTCTTACAGGATATAGCGTGACTATAGTAACGCTTAGGTAACGCAATACACTACACCCGATAACTAAAACTCCCTGCTAACTCGAACAATTTTCCGTTTTCTGTGGGAGTCCAAGTTTGCGGTGTTTAACTCTATTTCGTCTTATTTTTGTTATAAAATAAAACAACGAATGTATCTGTGCTTCTGGTAGCCTTCAGATCCGTTTCCAATTTAGTGATGAGAGGCATGATTACAGTCCAAGGAGCTAAGCACAAAATGATGAAAATTCAAACTTGAATTTCTGTTGATGATTACATTTTTTTTAGAAATTAAAATAAGTACTTCCACTTGGGATTGCTCTCTGCACAAACTCTGCACTGCATTAGGTAAGCACAGCGGTCGAAGGCGGGGCATGCGCAGGAAGGTCAATTTTGCCTAGCAGCGCTCAAAATTTCCCGCGCGAATTTTGCGAACTTAGACTTTTCCGTTCACAAAGTGTTGTTAATGACAAATATTCTGTTAAATTGGCATTTTTCTAGCTATACAAATTACCAGTGCATTTTATCGCTTTTGTCGTTTATTAACTGTGGGTAGCGCGACAACGTTCCTTTGCGGGTCAACCTTCTCTGTTTGCGGATACAATGTAGTCATCTGATCGCTGTTTACCGCGGTCTGGAGATATAGTTTTGCTGGAAAGTTTCCGCGGGCACAAGGCAACATATTTTTAACATGGCTGCGTCAATATGGCGATTGACTTATGGTGAGAGCATCTCCTGTCGATGTGGAGAGCTTTTCTTTGTGTTTTTGTGACCTCTGCGTCGTTATCAGTCTTTAGAAATAACTGTCGATGCCCAGGGACAATATTTTCCTCAAGGCTGTCCAGAGATGTACGTTCTTTAGGTGCTGTGGTAGGCAGTAGATAAGCACAAATGTAAGTTGTTGCCTCTAAAATGTCTGGAGATGGAACTTCCTTTTCATCTCGAAAGCGGCAATTTGAGGCAGAGGTACGACGCGCAGTTTTACTGTTTACTTCAATTCAAGTAACTCTGAAGTTAAACTTGATATTCAACTCTGATACCACATTATTACCAATTTTTAACTACATAGCGAAGTGGTAATGATTTCTTTTAGTTATGCTCTGCAAATCACATGTGTATCAGGTACATGTATGTTGTGTTAGTTTTGTTAAGCATTGGGCTGCACTTTCTATGGGTTTACAGGCCTGATAACCCTATTGGGATGTTAGGAGGACAAATCATTCACCTCTGGCTCATGGGATTCCAGAAAACTACTTGAAAAGTTTTTAAATCCAGAGCTGGAAGAAAGTGACTTACAAACCTTTTGAGTGTTCTCCCAACATCCTTAGTGGGTTGTTACACTGGCGAACGCTGGTGGTCTTTTACTTTTATGAAATGACAACAGGTTTAGTGATGAAATAAACAGTACATTTTTGACCAATCATGGTGCTTATGTGCATGGGTGCATGTAGTATCACAGTTATAATATAAAGTGTTGTATTATTATGGTACATGTATACAGAAAGCTAAAGGGAAGTGCTAGTTGCAAGTTATATTAATATGAAATATCTTAATTCCTTAATTTACTCATAGGATGCTGGGTAAATGTCCATCTTCAGTACATTTAGACATGACACGATGAAGTTGAGGCTTGTGTGTATGGGGAAATTTGTTGTAAACTACAATCAAACCCTGTTGTTTTGAGCTGTTACTTTAAACTTTGCACAGTAGTATCAGTATGCAATTTCTCCATACTGTTCTCTATACATTTCTTTAGGTACTTACAAGAAGAGTTTATCCCAGAGTCAAGACCTTAGCTTCTTGAGTTTGCAACAATTTTCTTTCTTTCAAACCTTAATGTTTGATTCAGGGATGATACCATTTTTTGGATAAATTAGATGATTATTTATATTTAGGGGTTAAAGGGTTGAGCAAGTTTCATCACTCAAACAGAAAAATATTTCTAATGAAAACATACAAAATTAAAAGAAAGGTAGAGGTAATCAAGTCAAACTACCAAACAAAGCTTAATTGTTTGATTTTTGTTCTTTTATTTTTTTGCAGGAAGTTTACCAGTAAGACTAAACTTGATGCACTTTGTGTATTAGAACCCTTTACTAAGCCCAGTTTTCCATGCCAGCATTCAGATTTATCCAAAGAGGGTATACGAGAACAATTACAATCAACCTTTCTTGTATGCAAGGGAGAAGATGGACATTTGTTAAGGGGATCTATGGGTGCCTCTCTAATACATTTTCTTTCTACTCAGCTGACTGTGTTGATCTGGATCTGGGAATGGAAAATGAGGAAATTTCAGATGGTAACATAACCGTTTCTTCAGTTAAAAATGCCAGCACACCAGCCAAGAATGGTCGACTGAACTACACATCAGGACCATCATGGTGTGCAAGACCAAGTGACACTAACCCGTATCTACAGATTGATCTACAGGCACTATATATCATCTGTGCTGTGTCCACTCAAGGGAATTCTCAAGCAGATCAATGGGTGAAAAACTATACACTTCAATTCTCCAATGATGGAACAACTTGGATGGTCTACAGAGAAGGTGGACAAATTAAGGTAACATGTTAAAGACCATGTCACTTGGCTTTTATTGATATTTGCAGTTGTCTACAAAATAATTAAATTTGACTGCCTCTTTGTTTGACACTTCCTACAGAGTGAAGATGCATTCTTAATGAGGTCTGATTGGGAACATTAATCTGTGAAGAACTTTGATTTTTCACAAAACAATTAATGGAGAAAATTGTTAGAGCTGTTTTTCTTGTCACTCTGTAGAGGAAAAATACAGGGAAAAGCTTTTGTTTGTACAGCATCCCTAAGATCATGGAGAATGAGGATAGATGTCAAAACTGAATGCCATTAGACTTGCAAAAACCTAGTTTAAACAAGGTTTAATTGTGTAAAGGAGGGATGAGGAGCACAAAGATGAGGAAATAAAACCAATATACTTGATGCTTACAACTATTGGAAGTTTGTTATTATATTTATTTAAATATATTTCTGGAAATAGATGTATATCTTTAAATTTTTAGCTGATGGTTTTGATTTCAGACCTTTCAGGGAAATAGTGACAGAGCCTCAGAGGTGAAGCATGTTCTTTATGAAAGTGTTGAAGCACACTACCTACGAATCTTGCCAAGTGCATACCATGGTGCTGTGTGTATGAGAATAGAAGTGTTCGGTGTTAAGCAAAAACCAGGTTATTATTTTATTAATTACCTTTGACTATATAATAGCCGAATTTATGAAAAAGTTCTTTATCAAGGTGCATAAACAACCTCACATACAAAATTATGCTAAGTGTAAAACCTCTCTTTTGAAAATTAGTTTATTTGCATTAGAAGGAGAAGTGCTTTTCATGGCAAAGTCTTTGAGTTCTACAGTATTTTCAATTCAGGCATTTTATAAATTGCCTTGGTAAGTGATGGGCGAATTGAACTGAAGTATGGTGGAGCTAGTAAGGATCAAACAGAGAAAATGCAAACCATAAATTGAAAACATGCTGGAGTTAAATGTTTTATTAAGTACTGTCATCCTTTTGATTTGCCCTAAAAAACTAAAACTCTTTACATAAACTCTAAGTACATTTATAAATATTGACAGATGTGGAATTCATGCATGCCTACTTTGTAGATCGATGGGGATTTATTCATTTGGCATCTGGAACAAAGAGGTCGGACAAATTTTGAACGGGAGATCATTGCTTTGTATGGAAAGTTTCTCAGTGAAAATTATACAATACTTTTACTCTGGTGGAGGCAGCTCACAAATCTGGTCATCTTGTTCTTTTTATTTGCTCTTACATTTTTAGAAACTTCAGTCTTTCTTTTTCAACAATATACCAGGGCATCTTTATCTGCACTTACTTGGGAGTTGATCAACTCTGACATTACTTTATCCTAGCAGGCTGATATACATGTAGGTGTTTGCAAAATGCAATACTGAAACCTTAGTTGATATTAATTTATTTTCTGTCTTGACACAGTTAATTTTGCCCTTGGGAAGGCCACCTTTCAGTCTTCAACATTTAATAATACTCAGTTGGGTGTGTCAGGTGTGTCAGATAAAGCAGTGGATGGTAATTCTGATACTGAATTTAGAAATGGAAGCTGTACGCATACTCAGTCAAGAAATCCAAGCTGGTGGAGAGTTGATCTGGGTTCAGATAAGGTTCCAGTCTCTGACATATTCATAGTCAACAGATTTTCAACAGTTGCTGATGTGATGGCTAGGAGCAAAAATTATAACATTACTTTGGGTGAGCAGTCACTATACTTTTCATGTAATCAATTGATATAATCTTAAGATAAATGGGTACATTAAAAGTAATAAAAAAAGGCAATTCCAGTGTGTCAGGTTGGAAAACCATAGTTATATGCTCAATCTCAATCTCAACCCATCTGTGCAGAAGTTTTACCATGCACAAGTATGTAAAATATTATGTGCATATTAAGAAAGTGTTGTAGAGGGAGTTATATGTTGCTTTTTCAGTTTGATGTTTCTGTTACTGCTGAATTGAGATATTTGAGCCCCTTAATATACTTTGTGTATTTTACAAATCACTATGATTACACGCTTCAAACAATAATGATGGATATATATTCTATTTATTGTAAGTGGTTCAGTTAACTTTATGTGTACATTTACATGTACATGCATGCAAAATCTTATTTCCCTTTGAAACTGTGTCATACCGAAACCCAGTTTACAGGGGAAAAACAAGTTTATATCAGTAATGAAAAACATTTATACAGTAGTTTGTCACACATTTGGTATGTACAGAGCATTGAGGTGAACTGTTGTTTTTATTTATTTATTTTTAATAACATCAGGTAACAACCCAATAGTAGTAAACAACACTCAGTGTAAAGGACTGTACAGTTTTGTTAACTTCAAAGCATCAGCTGTTTGTTTTACCAACCCACTGATAACTGGCAGATATGTAGGGATATCAACAGTAAGGAAACAAGCTCTTCAACTCTGTGAGGTGGAAATCTATTTGCGAGGTACATTTCATCAACTATAGAGATTGATATTGACTAAAGATCTTTGTAGCAAAACTTTGAAAGTTTTTGTTAAGTTGTAGTGACACTGTTAGTTCCAAAATCTCTTCTGACCACACTTTTAATGTGACTAGATGCTGATTAACATAATTGCACGTGTCATTTCAGATAATCTTGCATTTGGAAAACAAACAAATCAAAGTAGTGTAGAGTTTGGTGGTGTAAGTAGCAGGGCAGTTGATGGTATCAGTAACACAGACTATTACGCTAACAGCTGTACCCACACTGGCAAAGAACTCAACCCTTGGTGGAGAGTTGACTTGGGACAAGTTGAACCAGTTTCAGAAATATACCTAGTCAACCAAGAAAACCAGTGGTTTTACAGGCAGAATAACTTTGAGATCAGAGTGGGTAGGTTAGATCATTTTTGAAATTGTAACACTATACCATAGAGTCAAAATGTTTCAAGCAATCATGTCTCATAATGTTGGTAGTGACAAATAATTTGTTTCACGCTTTAACTGGTGGGTTATATTTAAGTTTATCTATGCCTATATGCAAAGAAATATTAGGTGGAAATTTTTGTCAAATACATCATGATGAAGTGTCATGGTGAATTAACATTTTCTTTCTACTCTACTTGTGGAAGATATGATGAAATAATAAAGGCTGCACTCTAGATCTGAAGGATGTAGCTAATATTCTCATAATACTGTGTAATGATAGTAGCTGGGTAATCAAGTTCTTGGTTGCTTTTCCTGCCAAACCCTAAATTGTTTCCTGATTCTTTACAGGCACAGTATCTAATAATGGAGGAATTACCAATCCCAGGTGTGGTGATAAGCAGAGTTATGGCCTTCCAAGAGGAAAAGGGGTATCCTTTTTCTGTCGTCCTGTATTATTTGGAAGATATGTGACAATAAGAAGCTTAAGATCTGACAGTGAACACTTCACACTTTGTGAAGTTGAAGTTTATTCTGAAAGGAGAGGTAATACATCTTATATAAAATACCTGGATATGTTTGAAAACCTCACACTGATTGAAGTCTTAAGTTATTGCACAGAGGAGTTATGCTACTGTACACTAGTTCTACATTCATGCTTTACCTTACTATAGAACCATCCCATGCCCTTGCTCTGACATATTTAAATGACATTTCTCTCTGCCATGCTTTAACTGTGCCTGCAGGTGCAATTTGATTGAATCCCAGTAGGCTTAGTCTTACTGGCATTTTCCTCAATTTTTTTCTTTCCATGCATCTACAATTTGAAACTTGTATGTCAGCCAAAGTTCTCATTATACTTGACCTCACAATAAAACCATTCCTAGCCTTTGCTCTAAATCATTTAATGGACAGTTCTCTCTGCCATGCCTTAACTGTGCCTGCAGGTACAATTTGATTGAATTTTTTTTTCAAAACCTTTATGCTAAGTGGAAAACACTGGTACAATATTAAACATAGATTAATGTCAAATATGTATTGAAAGTCTGGTACTATAGACTCCAAAAAAAATTTCAAATCAATACACCTGATTAAACAAATGAAAACCCTCAGATTATTAGACAGCTCTCATATGATTGATTTAAACTGAACCTTACATAAATGCAAATTAGTTTTGTAGTGGCAGGTTTGCTGTCTACCTCTTTGTGTTACATGTATCTGCTTGTAATTAATCAGTTCATCGTTTTCTTATAACTGATTACAGCTTGCCAAATGCAGGCCATAGGTGTGGCTAGCACTGACACACTTCCTGATGCCAGCTTCTCAGCATCAAGTGAACGTACAAATCTTGAAGCTTCTAAAGGTCGACTGAATGCATTTAGGGGATGGTCACCCAGCAGTAGTGACAGACCTGATGATTATCTACAAATTGATCTGCAGTATGAGTTTCTTATTTGTGCTGTAGCTACTCAAGGGAGGTCAACTTTTGATGACTGGACAACTGAGTACAAGTTACAGCTATCCTTTGATGGTTCCACTTTTGTGACTTACAAGGAAAACAATGTTGACAAGGTTGGTTAAAAAAACCATAGGTGAGATTGAATACGGAACTGTAAGAGATATTCTTAGTTATTCTAAAGGGAGATTTTAAGAGCTACATGTATGTGAGGGTTTAAGTCTCAAACTCTGAACCCTGGAGAAAACTTGTGAACTTGAATGAAATGTGAAATCTTAAAATACATTACTCCTCATCGTGTACTGAGAGAAATGAGCATCTATAATGGTGGACAGACATGCATGTCTCTAAAAGCAAGGATCTTAAATGTTTATGATAAGGGCTATATTAAAATCCTGAGTAACTACAATATGTATGCACAATACCAAGTTTTCTGTCACATATGTATAATGTTAATTGAATTAACTGAACTTATAAAGCAGGGAAAAGAGAACACATCTGGATACTTTGGTGCACAGTAGCCTCTAAAGTTTTCTAAAGCACTGACTGACTCACTAGTTTCAGTCCCATGGCCAACAACAATAAAATTGATTTATAAAGTTAAATCATCAACTCATATTTTGAATTAATTGTTTTAGACTTTCAGTGGCAATTCTGGAAGACATGACATTGCCAAACACAATCTCAGAGATGTGAGGGCAAGATTCATTCGTTTCCAGCCTGTCAAGTTTGTTAGAAACAAAGCTTTGAGAGTAGAGGTGTATGGAGTTCTTATATCTAGAGGTATATTATGTTTCATTTAATATCATCAAGTTTTCACATTGAGCAATTTTTAAGGCTAGCACAATGGTTAATTTATTATATTAAGCCTCTTTGGTCATTGGATGTAGTTTATTTTTGTGAACACTCCCTTTAGGGAAACATCATGTACAGGTGTTACACTGTACATTGGCCAAATTACAATGTAGGAAGTGGTATTTTCCACAAAAAAGGTCTTATCCTACAGCTGTATGACTCCCAATCATGGAGCTAGATATGCACCTATGTTAAATGTTGGTGGTTGTCTGCTTTTCTGAAGGGGTCTACAAATGGAAAATTGATCTGTTTAAGTCTGTTTTTGGATACATTCTTTTCCCATTTACATAATTAATCTCATATATGCACTCCCAATAGTTCCTAAGACCCTACAAATTATTATTTTCCAATAACACTGTGCAAGACGTTTTACTAACTGGAAGAGTAAGGCTTGATTGACTTTGATCTCTTAAATACCGCATGAATTGATTTTTATGTGCAAAAGAATGAAGAATATTGGTAGCATTGTTATTATTATTATTATTATTATTATTATTATTACTATTGTTATATTGTAATCAATATTATTATTGCTATTATTCAATTATCATTCTGTCTTAATTTCAGTCCCCTCAAAAGCACCCAGTGAATTGACTTTATCTGCAATCTCTTCTACAAGTATCAGTGCATCCTGGCATTTACCTCCTGCATATTCCAGACATGGAATCATTGCAGGGTTCAAATTGTTCTATAAAAAGAAAGGGTTTATTGGGTCAATACGTGTGGAAACTATCAATAATGGAAGGACCTTTTTAGGAGTAATTAATGGTCTGGATAAGTACACAGAATACGAATTTCAAGTGTTGGCGTTCACGTCTCATGGTGATGGACCAAAGAGTTCAGTTGTGGTGGAGAGAACAATGGAAGATGGTAAGAAACTTTATTGTTTGTAGCAGTTGCACTTCCACTTTTGGTTGGTTTTCAAGAGCCTATATCATTGTAAAGTTGGGTTGACATTAATGAAGGTGTAGTAATATGTTTGACTGTGTATATATGTTGAAATCCTAACAAATATATATTGAAAAGTTTAATCCCAAGAATCTGATCATTAAGCTCCTTGTAACTTAGTCAAGAAAATCTGTTTTCTTTTTCTCTATTTAGGTCTTTAATCCATCTATTCTTGACACCATTTTTTGGATTATGTTTGAAAACTGTTATGCAAAATGCTTTTTAGGTGTCTTATTTGAATCAATATTAGCATCCAAGCAACTGTATATCTAACCAAACATTAACCCTACTTGCAATCAGTTGACTGTTGTTAGGTAAGGAGGAGTAGGTGTGCAGTTGCTTGGATATTGACATTCATGTATTATTTTTGTAAGTTTATGGATTATGCTCACTATGGAAACTGAAGATGTAAAATGTAAAACATACTCTAAGAAGGTTATAATGTTAGGATTTCTTACAATGTATGTTTTAATCTGCATTCCTCATTCTAATGATAATAAAATTTATCTTAATTTTAGTCCCTTCACAACCTCCTAGTGGCTTAACTGTAGCAGCCAGCTCTTTTACCAGTGTTTTAGCATTTTGGCAGTTACCTCCTGAAGACTCCAGACATGGAATCATCAAGGGATACAAACTCTTTTACAAAGAAACAGGTGGTGATATGAGCTCAACAACCGAATTACTCATCAACAATGCAGCAATTCAGTCCATATCTGTCACTGGGCTACAATCTGGTACAGATTATGACTTTCAAGTGTTGGCCTTCACATCTAGCGGTGATGGACCAAAAAGCTCTGTGAAAGTCGTGCGAACAGTTGTAGATGGTAAGACACGGACAGAACATTCCATGGGAATTTCTTTATCTTTAAAGTAATTATTATTTTACATAATAAACCGAGCTAAGTGCAATTTTAATTCCTACAACACTATTAATTTCTGACTTTTCCTCTAATTATAACTTTTTCTTTAGCACCTGGTCCTCCGGCTTCCCTCAATCATACTCTTAAAACACCGACTGAGTCACATGGACCAATGATAACTTTATCCTGGACAGCCCCTTCACAACCGAATGGAGTTATCAGGAATTACACTGTGTTTTACCACCACAGTGAAGATCCACTTAATACTCACAATGAGACCTTTGGACCAGATGTCTTTAGTTACACAGTTGATGTGTTGGGTGGAGTCACCTATTGGTTTGACGTCAGAGCTGAGATAATAAAACCTGGAGAAAAGGCCTCTTTAATCGTTAATATCCCAGAATATAGTAAGTGCAATGTAGTCTGTCTTACGTGTCTTATCGATGTTAACAAGAAGCAAGATCTTCATTACCGGCACGTTTAGTTCAGTCGTGTAATGTGGATTGTAAAAAAAATGAAATTCAATTTTAATTAAACCACAAAAAATAAGTTTGGTAAGATTAAAAAAACATTATTGGAATAAACTAAGATGAACTAGGGTGATTATGGACGAAGGAAATCGACATGGGTTTCAAATTACATGCTAAGACCGTAAAAACTTCTTAGGGCATGATGGTTAACTTTTGACTGAATTGTTTTCCCTCAGAGCCTAATAGTGGCCCAGCTAAGGTGTTTTCTGCCTATGTGAACAAGACCACCTTAAACATTTCATGGGCACCTCTACCAAGAGAGCAGAGTAATGGCGGCATCATTCTGTACAACGTCAAAGAAGAATTGTTGTCTCGGGGAACACGACAGAAAAGATCACCTCTGAGCGGCAAAACAGTCAATACAACAGACACATTCATTTTACTGAGTGGATTATTGCTTTGTTCGCAATACCAAGTATCTGTTCGAGCTTATACCAAAGTAGGTCCTGGCCCATATGGTCCACCTTTAGAACTGCCGAGAACATCGGGTATGTAGTACGGCATACAGCAGTTAGAGTGAATTTAGTAAACCCAAAGCCAGTAACTACATTGGCCCTTCAAAATAAAGGAAGATATCCCAAAATTAAATTAGAACAGTTCATAAATAATAGAGAACAAAAAAGGAATGAAATAAGTCAACTTCTTTACAAGGAAATTTATGTTTACACTGAGTATTAGAAGTATTTTCGCTTTTCTCAAAGGCCCGGGAACACCTTGGGGGTTAAATGCATCAAACGTTGGAGCAACCCAAGTGACACTGGAATGGAAGGAACCAGAGCTTATGACAAAAGAAGGTCTCAGCTATAGAGTGAGTTTCACGAAAGCAATAAAATGATGTTAAACCTAACGCCACTTTTTTAACTTTTGATGTCAGCCATTATGCGAGGAGCCTCTTGTGTAATATTCTGCTGGAATTTTTTTAGGATAAGCAGAAACGTACGTGGATTTGGAAAGTTTGTCTCTCGCGTTTGCAGCAAATGTTGTTGGAAAAGACAGATCTGATAATTGTTCTTTTTTTTCTTTCAGTGGTAGTCTTTGTTTGTTCGTTTTTTTCATGGCGTATTTCCAGAATGCAAAACCATGGTCAGTCTTCTCCTTTTGAACAGGAGATATTGTTGAAAAGCTATGTGAAGTTTCACATAAAGCTGTCTTTCTTTCTTAAGGTGAAGTATCTCGGTATAAAGCCTTATAATGGAAGCTTTAGAGAGGAAGGTTTTCAGGACGTTGGCAGTTCCACCTATTACACCATGAAAGGTTTAGTTCCAGGTTCAATCTACGAGTTTCAGATTTTCGTGAGCTCTGTTTGTGGACTCGGAGAACCCAGAAGATTTCCTGATAGGATCGAAACAAAGATGACAGGTGAAATTTGATTTATATGAGCAGTTGCTTATTAATATAAAAGACAGAGTTTTAGACTGATTTATTGTTGAGATTACTAAAACAGTATGAACTCAATTAAAAACCCTTTCTATCCAGAAATATACGGCTGATGAATATTAACACCTTTTTTTTGAAGAAATAATGAGTTAGCTTGCATGGTACTCGTAAAAAACGATGAATTATGCCGGTCTAATTTTTGTCATTGGCTAATTGTCTTTCACTAAGTTTACCAGGGCAAAATTTTCAACGGCTCAATAATTGACTCTTTTCTTTTTCGCTCTCCAGTTTAGAGTACATTATCATATAAATAACACACACATTTTTCTGAAGAAAACACCTTTTCAAACCTGTTACAATTTTCTTGCTTCTCTTTTTCATTTTAGCCCCGATCTCCCCAGCTGTACTTTCGGTGACGAATAAACGTATTTCGACATCAACTGTTGTGATTCGCTTGTGGCCTGCGGAGCAAAGAAATGGTCCAATAAGGTGAATTACTCATTTTTTGGGGGACTTACAAACCCTGATCTTAACTAAGATAATGCTCCTTTACCTTTACACTTGTCGCCATCATTGAAGCGACGCCTGGATTTTCAAGTTTTGCAGTTCCCATCCATGTCGACCTCTCCTTTCATCCCTGTTATTCTTACTTCTTTGGTATTTTGTTGCTCCTTCAGGCTATCTTTCCAAGATTTTGATAGAAGGGACATCTTTTTTACTCAAATTTCGTTACCTGTAGCTCCTTTATCAAAGCTCTCTTTGTAAATGTTATTTTTTAAGGTTCGAGTACTTAAGTTAAGTGCAATGAACGTTAAAAAATATTCCAATTTCCTCTTTTTCAGTTCTCATCAAGTTATAGTTCTAAATGTTGTTGACGGAGTGGAAGATCTTCCGATTGATTTTGCTTCAAAAATACAAGATTCAAATAATTCCGAGAAAGGGAACCTGAATTTTTATGTTGCTGCTGAGCTGAAAAATATTCCGGGGAATGAAATGTCTTGGGAATTCAGTGTTGGCGATGGAAAAACGTATGGAGCATACAGAAACAAAGAACTCCAAATCGGAGAGGACTACATTGTGTACCAAAGAGCGATGACTTATGACAATGATGTAAGTAATTTCTGACAAGTTACAATCTTCCTGAAGCTTTCACTCAAATGGCATTGTATTCCTATCACACATGTAATACTCTTCAACTGGTTGACCTTAAGGAACCGCATAGGAAAAAGTATTGAAAAAGACCCAAAAAAAGCTGGAAAATGCAACTGTAAAAGACTTAACCCTCAAAGTTTCCAAAGGGAACCTTAGCCCTCCCTAGGAAAGGGATGACTGGTGTTAGGATTTTGAAAGCGTCCCGTGTCGCAATAGGGTGAGATCGAAAGATCTGTGATGGTACACAGCGTGAAAAAATTACAAATTTTATGAATTTGTAATTAAGAACAACGCTTTCCCAAAGTGGCAGATTATATTTGCCAACTATTGGAACCTCCAGCAAAACTGAAAATGCTAAACTAACTAAAAGACAAATTAAGACTAACTTTGCCTATTACGTTCACAGGTAATTTTATATGGACCAGTCAGCAAGGTGGCAAAAATTTCTGTCACTGAAGGCAAGATGAATACTTATTGATAATTTTGAGTCGAAATTTTCTTGATTTTATCGCTTCACTTTCAAACCTAATATTTCTGAAAACAGAGGTACTTAGCTTGATAATTACTCTGTATTCATAATTGAATATTGACTAACCTTGGATGGGTGTTCTCCTGTTTTTGATACACATGCTGTAGGATTAGGAAGAAGAGAAAGCTCTAAATCTGCTAGTATTGTGCAGATTGCCGTTCCAGTGGTTCTGGTTATAGTCTTGGTACCATTGCTTCTTGTTGCAATACTGCTGTATCGGAGGTATGCTTGACCCGCAGTAATAGTTTTATATAATGGCTTTGCAAAGTGTAATTTTCCTGATGATGTTCACAAGGGGTAGAAGCAAATTGTTTCATGTTCCTTATGTTGTAATGGAATATCATAAAAAGAAAAGAGCTTTTTGTTTGTGCCTAGTGTAACTGTGTGTTTCCCACCACCGTTTCAGGAGGAGACAGGCAGAAAAGTCGGGCCCAGGGAAAGACAGTAATAAAGTACATATTCCACTTGGCGAATTCAGAATGGATTCAGTTGAGTCCAACGGAGGAACAGCTGACTTAGTTTATCAAAACGTGTCTGAAATTCCTTCAGATGAAAGTGGTAAGCTATTGCACTTAGATATTTTATGAATTAATGGTTAGTTAAGAGGTTGGAGGCAGATGATTCCTTCGCTCGATTTCTCACTTCTAGGACTATCTACAATGTGAAATCAATACCGATCGCCACATGAAGTTAAAATGTGATTGATGAAAAACCGATAATGTACATCTATATGATTACATTTTTAGCTCACTATCACGAGGAAAGGTTTACGACATAGAAATGTTAGAAAGGACGTCTTCGTTTAGTCATAGGAACTATGCAATTGTTGTATTTGTCCGGAACACAGGACAAAGGAAAGATATGAGTTGTCCGTTCAAGTGCGAGCGTCAGACCTCTCGAATTTTCGGTCGGACACTCTACCAAATGAGCTCTAAAGACCTCTTTTGTGAGCAAAAGAACGCTTATCACGAGGACCAGCTGTATTGAAAGTTTCTTAATGATTTAATGTGGAAATAAAGTAAGAAAGATGGTGAATTTTGAGATGGGTTGTCCGATCAAATAGATTTAAAGCATTTGTCACCATCGTGAGGCCGAGGAAAAATCTGGGTCTCTTGTGAGATTGGGACTATTAAGCGATAGGGAATTACTTTTTAAATTTAAATTAACCTCCTTTGATTCCGCTTCACAGTTGGTGTGAAAGAATCTCTCCCCAAAGAAAAAGAATCGGTGTACAGTGAGGCTGATGATGGTACGCCAAAACCAATTCCTGTGGCGGAGTTTGCTCAATACTTCAAGAACAAATCAGTCAATGGAGGCATTGTGCTGAAAGAGGAATTTAAGGCAAGGCAAAAAAATTATGATAGCTTTTCAAGGAGATTTCCATAAGCTAATGCCGGTGTAGGTTGATTTGTCCATAGAAGGGTAGAAGAAAATTATGTAACAACTGTTTCTCATAAGGTGGAAAAAGCAAAGCGAATAGAGAGGCTAACGCGCGCAGCCGACTGGTTAAACAGGTCTTTTTACACCGCAAAGTAACCAACTGTCCAAATAACAATACAATATCGCAGGATATTTGCACTCTATTGGCGCGTTATTTGTACTTTGTGCAGTTGGATAAAAAGAAGAAGTACTATCTGCTTCGACAAGGTTTCTCGCTTTAATGAAGAGAGTTTCCTTTTGCAAGCCTTTAATACTGTGTGATTGTTGCTGTTGTTGTTGGTTTGACGTAATTAAGTATAATTGTAGTTACTGTTTCATGATCATCAACAACAAATATGAATAGTAATTTCTAATAAGATTGCCTATCCCTTCAAATCAAAATAAGTTAATGTTCAGTCGGTAGAACGGCTTGTGTTCTTAGCTGGCTTGGAGACTTAGACAATTAACTTTTTATACTTATTTTTTAACAGAAGTTACCCAGCATTTTGCCGTTCTCTTGGGACGTTGGCAAAAACAACAAAGTGAAAAACCGTTTTGGAAATATTACGACCTGTAAGTGAATTTTATTTATTCTACACTATTCAGTTGTATTTTATGCAAGAAAAAATATTTCTAAATACTCATTCGCTTGAACGCAGAGTAAAGACATCAATTACAAATTTGCATTTTAAAAAAAATCGCTTTGCGGACCCTTAAATTTTGTGGAATCCTCTGTTATCGCGTGATCGTAGGAAGAAGTTTAACTGAGGGATTAACTCTTGCAAACGAAGATTAGGGTGAACCAGGGTTTCCGCGCCCTACAATTTAGTAGTGGTCACTGGGTGAGAATTAGTTTGAGTACGAGTGAGTCATTGAGGAGAGAGATTCCGCTGCGAGAGATTCTCTGTAAAAACTTAAGACTGGCACTTTTTCGTGACAGATGATCATTCTCGCGTTGTTTTGGAGAAAATAGAGGGTGATCCAAAGTCTGACTACATTAACGCCAGTTACATTCCGGTAAGTACAACCCCCATACCGCGTAGTACGGTCCATTTTAAAAGTACGTCACGATTTTTCGAATTCTCTATTGTGGTGTTAAAGAAAACTTATTATAGAGCAATTTTCAATTGACAATAGAGAGTAACTTGGTATTGCAGTGTCTGGCTTTACTTCCCTTTTTTATTGTTCCTGTAAATTCGTGCCTCTCTCTCTCTCGATCACTTAGATTTAAAACTGAAGTCAATTTTAGACTTGGTTGCTCTTGTTTCCCACGCTTTAGGCAGTTTGAATGTATTTTCTTTGAGTTCTCTTTGGCTCACTGACATATCTACCTTTATTCTACTTTGCTCTGAGATTATTATGTTATTGGCTTCACAACACTCAATCGGAATGCGCTTTTTTGGGATAAGACTTCATAAGGGTGGTTTGCTGTGGTAGCCAAATACCAAATAGTTAAATATACTTCAAAATGGACCAATTATTGTTACGGATGGAGAATGTAAAAACACATTACAAACGAAGAACCTAAAAAGTAAGAAACTTAACTAAAAGTAACTCTTCTCTCAGCTTGATAGGAAAAGTGAACAGAAAATATAAACAGCGAAATAATCACTTGTGTCTCTAAATCAAATCATCAGTTATGATTTAATAGTAACTTCTATTTCATTCTTAGACTGTTGATGAGGAATCAATGAACTACATTGCAACGCAAGGTAATAGATTTTGGTTCTTATTCACATTTTCCAACCCACAGTCGGTTGTACATTTTATTGTTTTTCTTGGATAATTGTTTAAAAAATATATCTGGTATATCACTGTTGTAAATCTGTGATAGATCTGTAGAGTGAAGTCTGCTTAGGTACGCGTGGTTTGTTTCTATCAAGTCTCTCAATACTTTGTTGATATTTTTTCAGGTCCAACCTCTACAACAATCAATGATTTCTGGCGAATGATCTGGCAAAATAACTGTTCTGTTATCGTCATGTTAACCAACTTGGTCGAGCTTGGAAAGGTATTCTTTCTGATGTAAAAAGTACTTTTCTTTATTACTCTATGGGTTCTTTACAGTATGTTATTGCCGTGCCCCGTTTTTAAAACAGAACAGACTTAGAAAACGATACAAATTGTTTTATTTCAAAAGACGAGTGATACAGGTACAATTGTTTTTTTACTCTTTAAGAACAAGTGTAATCAGTATTGGCCTGACAATACTACGAGGTTTGGATCCATCACAGTAACACTACTTGGGACGCAAAGCTTCGCTGACTACTGCATCCGAACCTTAAAATTAGTCCAGGTAAGAAAATATAGAAGAACACCTTATTTGCGTGATGTTTACTCCTTAAAATAGAATTAAACGTAATATATTTTTTTTTTCATAGAAAATGTTGTTCATCGTGGTTTTAAAGATAAATGAACGTTTAGTCGTTTGTCTTGCATACTAGCCTGACTCCTACGAGCGTAATATTTGTTTGTAGGGCAATTGAGATTTTCATATTATGTTCAACGTGTACTTTCACGTAGGAAATGAATGACATTATGGTCCGGGATCAAATTTACATTGATGCAGAGACATTGACAGCTTTTCTTACCTTACAAAAGCAGTTTATTTGAACATATTGATTACAAAGCCTAAACCTTATAACCCTTTATCTCCCAAGATCTCATTTGCAATTCTCCTTACTGTCTGTCATATAGTTCTTGTGATGTTAGTTTCGAGATCAACGAATAATTCCCTAATTAATATTTTCTTTATTCTCATCACTTGTCTGTTTGATATTGTATTGATATAGTAAGGAGAAATTCTGTCTTGGTCACTCATGGGAGTTAAGGTTTAACTCATAGGAATTACAGACACGAGAGCTCTCCTCCTCCTTTCCTCTCCGATTATGAAAGTAGACTGTTTTTTTTTTCAACTGGAAGGTTTTTATGGTGATATAACTTAAGATTCTCTAAACTAACTCACCGAAAATTGCATGCCAGCTGTTAGAAGAGTGATTCACTGATTAGATCTTTGGGGTAAAATGGTTGCAATAGGCGAGATTGTTAAGTGACAACGATTCTGCACTCTGAATAACAGAGGTTTTATGATACTCGAAAGGCTATTATTTTTCAGTGGAAAATCATCACCGCCCTTGCAAAGTTGAAGTTTACACATTGTCAGACAATTTTGTACTGAAACTTTGATCGTGATTCGTCCTTTAAGCCTCAAAAGTAAAATTAAAATGAAGTTATTAGTCTTAATTTTCATCGGCATTAGGGCACAAAGACGCGTGAGGTTTACCAATATCATTTCACCTCGTGGCCAGACAGAGGTGTCCCACACCATTCGACTGCGTTACTTGCATTTAGATGGAAGGTTCATGTTCGAAATCAGACCACCGGCGGACCACTCGTTGTACACTGCAGGTACTCTTTAAAAAAATTGTCATTTGACAACAAGTGGGTGAGGTGGGAAAACATTTTAAAACAGCTGCTACGAATGAAAGTTTTCAGGACTGCTGTGGAGCAGTCTTTACCAAAGTTCTCGAAAACTCAAAGATCGCAGCTCAGCTCCACTAGAGCATGCACTAGTGAGGAGAACAGCTGATCAAGGTCGCCCACTGCATGGATTCGCGGCCGTTAACATTCAAATACTAGTTAAATAGTGTCTGAAGGTTTGATACAACGAGGAAGGAGATCAATACGCATTAAAAATAATGCAGTAAATAATTTTTAAGATGTGGCAACCTCCTCTTACCTCAGTGGGATAAAAAGTGGGTACTACACGTGTAGTGTAGACAGCATTCACCGCGTCTGGGCCGCAGAGGAATTCAAAATTGCTGGTCGGCTGAATTTTTTTTTTCTTTTAACGACATGATCATTTTTCTTTTGTGATCTCTTATTTGTTTGCTTCATGACAGTGCTGGTGTTGGTCGAACTGGTACGTACATTGCTATCGACGCCATGTTGGAAGGTGCTAAGAAGAAGAATGCTGTGTTCATACAGAATTACGTGCAAGTGATGCGAAAACATCGCCCTTATATGGTGCAGAAAGATGTAAGTGAATTTGATTCATTTCTGCAGCGAATGTTGTTGATGATTTTTCTGTAGTCACATGAAATTGAAAGGACATTCGATCGCGAGATAGGAAGTTGCAAGGTTCGAATCTTTGTGGGTAATTCAGTTTCTTGTACATGGGTAAATTTTTTTTTACATTCTTCTCGGACATAGTTATTGTTGCCTATAAGTTTTTTAATTTTTCGAGTGTTCCCGCTCCAGAAAGGTGGGTTAGACGCAGATGTGATTAAATTTGATATCTCCGCTGTATTTTTCACGTTTGTAAACAAGGAAAGAGTTACGTAATGAAAGTTTTATTGCCTTAACTGAACGTTTCTTCAATTATTTGTCGTTTTTGTTTGCTATTCGTTCTGTATCATAATAATTAATAGGAGGGAAATGGGAAAAATAACAATTTAAATGGAAGATGACGACACTATGCGTAATCGTATTATTTGATGAAATGGACTAGCAAGATACAGTGTTTGCTCTTCTTGTATTTGTTTAGCTTCATAGTTTTTTGTATTTATGTAGACACAGTACGTGTTCATACATCAAGCTGTGATGGAAGCTTTGACCTGTGGAACTACAGAGGTCACTTCTCAAAACTTGCGGATTAGAATGAACAAACTTGCCAGGGTTATGTCAGATGCCAAACAGACTGGTTATGCAGAAGAATTCAAGGTATAAGTCTACCTCACACTTTCAAATGTCACCAGTTTCATATTATATAGTCTATTGCTAAACGGGCAAACTGAAGTGAAAAGTATTTGTTATTCCAGCGTTTGGAGCTCGTCAGCGACTGCCAAAGCTCAGGAGAAGAATTTGTCGAAGCGTTGAAGCCCTCGAACCTTAACAAGAACAGGTTTTCAAATATAGTACCAAGTAAGTACTGTCCCATCTGTTATTAAACTGTGTTTCTTTCCTGTTCAGCGATAACGAAAAAAAAAAAAAAAATTTTTTGATACAATTGAGTTTGATGGCTACTTACTGATTTGCTAGGGACGATATCCATTAGTCATTTGCAAAATTGAAAGGGTAATTAATACCACCTTGCCCCACCAACGGGAACCGGAGATATGGAATGCTCTCTTGTAGGTTAAAAACATTCTTTGACTACGTTTTTTGCTGACATTTCGCAAAGAATTCATCCAAATTTCGTATCAGTCAGGACGAAATTATACTGATACTTCGCCAACATTTTATTTTTTTGAAACCCCGTTTAGTTTAAATAGATTGGATGAGTGTTGGGGGTGATGTTCACCATGTTCATTACATCATCATCATCATCATCATCATTGTTTATTTCATAGTTAAAGTCGTTTTTTTATTTCATTAAAGTGGATACTGCACGGGTCATGCTGAGGAGTTCAGAGCTGGATAAGGATTACATTAACGCCTCTTTCGTTGACGTAAGTACTTACGTGTTGGGAGCATTAACCCTATACCGCCCCAGATCTAATTCTTAATTCTCCTTTATGGCTGTTCTATATTTCGTTCAAATAAGTTAAGAGAATTTAGCCTATATTTTACAAGTTATTTGTTTGTAGTTCGAGTCGGTTTTCACTATCCTTGACCATACTCATTCCATTTCGGTGTTTATTTGTCCTCCAAAAATACATTTTATGACTGATTATCTTGACACTGAGAGCAATTTTGGATCCCACAATAAACGACTCATGGTGTCTTGACTCAGCGCCCTCAAGTTGACGTTTAAGTTAATACAATTTATCTGTGGTCAGAATTGCAAGAAAACAATGTTTAACCTATAGGCTTGATACCAAGGAAGACGAATCAGTTGTCAGTTGGTACTGTGCAGTAGCAATAATAAATTAGATACTTGCTGCAGTTTTTTTTTTAGGCTTTAAGGTCATCAGTGCAATGGAATTTCCTTTTAATAGAATTGTCTCTCTCTATCGTATTTATTGCTCTGTGTTCTTTACAATAATTTTCTCAATGGTTACATATTTTACTACCTTCATCAGGACTATAGTCGACGTGACGCATACATTTTGACTCAAGCCCCGTTAAACGATACTGTTAACGACTTCTGGAGGATGATATCACAGTATGATATCGGCACAATTGTGATGTTAAACAGTTTAAAAGAGGAAAAAGAGGTATACTTTACTCGTTTTAACACCAAACGCAGGTTTTAACTTCTTGATATTTCTAAAGGAAGCTCTGGAATCGTGCATGTGGAATTCTTTACCTTTGATCCCTCAGATCTGGAGTGAGAGTTCTTGCGATTCTGCATTTTATTACTTTTAAAAAGTTCAATTTTTCGCATATTATCTGAAATAAATATTGATGTTCTCATGCGAAGATATATATTGAATCCGGCATTTTGCATCTCCTGGTAGAGTTATCCACTATATTGGCCAAATGAAGGGTCTGCCAAGTATGGAGACATCACTTTACAGCTTCTATCAAAAACAAATTCGAAGAACATAACGACGAGGAAGTTCAGCGTTATAAATGCGACGGTACGGTGTAAATCGAACTGAGTATTATGAATAACTAGTTAGTTTGGGAGTAATAATACGAGCAAGAGGATCTTCGAATTTCCTAACAATTGACGAGGAGCAGAAGGACTTACTAAGCCCAACTTATGGATTAAATGTATGTTAATCGTCTCAATGACGTTATAAGTTGGAATTATACGAAAGTTTAGAAAGAGGTAGCTAGCAACAAGCTTTCCTTAAAATTGTCACTTGCAATCTGGATAAAAAGCTGGTTACGGAAAAATGGTGTTTGAAATGTAACCTCGGTCTTTTTCAAAATGGAGGCAGCCATCTGTGAAACCGGCCGCCATCTTTAAAACTGACTGAGAAACTTCCGGGGACGAGGCTGATGCGAAAACTTTTTCTGTTTTCTTTTTTTTTTATGGCGATCCCATCCGTGATGGCACATGATCGTGATATTTATGTTGCTTTTTAATTCCAATACGTTAGCCTCCCATGAAGACGTCGACTGTACAGCATATACAGTACACTGGATGGGCGAATGGAGACTCGAACCCAGATCCCCAAGAAATGCTCGACCTGTTGGCTGTATTAGAGCAGTCTCAACAACAATCCGGAGATGGTGTCATTGTTTTTCAATGCAGGTAAACTAATTTTTTTTTTTTTTTAAATAAAAAAAAAATCATTTAATTTTTCCCTCGCAATTTTTAGTGATTGTTAAAATAAAGTGAGAATGCAAAGATTAGCAAACAAAAAAATTATTTCTGGTCAATACTGCGAGTTCATTGCTTTTGCTTTGCATGGCGAATTCTCTCAGTCATTCAAAGAAAAAATTTTTAAAAAAAGTTAAGAGGCGAAACGAATCTGAACTCAATCGTTCTCTTTCTTTTGCGTTTAAGTTAGTTGGTAAGTATTTACGTTACGTGGTCTTGGGCTTCTTGTGATCTTATAATTATTCCAATGGTTGGTTGTCGTGAGTTACTCTGCGGCTCAAACAGCATGTCGGGTGCGAAATCGATACCTGCCTCTCAGCTCTACGACTCTTAGGTCTCTGCGTTTTGACCGTAAACTTTGTGTCTGAAATGGGATTTATTGCAAAAAGTAATTAGGGCGCATCCTAGTTTCACTTTAGTTAAGATTTTGTCTATAGGTTAGGAGCCCATACCTGCCAGTGCTTATCCCAGTTCTCATAATATGAGGCGACTAGATCTTTGAACTGGGTACCATTCCCTCTCAGGTGAACCGCAATATTTTACCTTGCTTACAACCTGGGCCTCCAAGGAGATCGTATCATTTTTTTAAATTTTATCATTTTTCAATTTCCATTTCGGTGTTTATTTGTCCTCCAAAAATACATTTTATGACTGATTATCTTGACACTGAAAGCAATTTTGGATCCCACAATAAACGACTCATGGTGTCTTGACTCAGCGCCTTCAAGTAGTTAGTTAATTAATTATCCTAGTTCTCATAATATGAGGCGACTAGATCTTTGAACTGGGTACCATTCCCTCTCAGGTGAACCGCAATATTTTACCTTGCTTACAACCTGGGTCTCCTCGGAGCTCTTATCATTATTTTTATTTTATCTTTTGGCGTCACTTGTTTTTTAGGGATGGTGTGGGTCGTAGCGGCTGTGTAGCTACCATAATGTCAGTGATCGAACGAGTCAAGATTGAACAAACAGTTGATGTGTTTCAAACCATTAAACTGATTCGAGCTAAAAGGCCTGGTGCTGTGAACACCTTGGTAAGTTGCTAAGAAGTGACGAGGGATACTGGGACTGTGTTCATCAGCGAATTATTTCTTTGCCTCGACTTAAAGCTCTATCTGCTGTTCGTTTTTCAGGATCTCTACTTGTTCTGTTACAAGACAATCCTTGCATACCTGGATTCTTTCAACTGTTATTCAAACTTTGAAGATTGTTAAATTGTCAGTATTTGACAGTTGTCGATGTTTGCGTACCGTCAGTCAGTCAGTCAGTTAGTGAATTGATTAGCTGGTTGGTCTCTCAGACACAAATAAATTCAATATAACAACAATAATGATAGAAATGATGATCGTATTGGTAAATTGGTACTAAATTGGTAGAGCGCGTACAATAATTAGCTCTTCAATATGGTTAGCTTTTTAATAAATATCACGTGCTGATTTTCTGAAGGGAAAAGCTCTCCAGTTTGTTTACCAAGAAAGTGCTAATCAGTAGTTGCAGTTAAATAGCATAGAAAGGGAACTTAAGTTTTGTGTAACCATGGTAATGATAATCAAATGATCTTTAAAATTCATCTCTGACTCCAAGACTAAAAGTTTGAACCAAGAGCAGTTTATAATCAGACTGAAAACCAGTAAACAAAGCTTAATTTGTGGTAAATCTGTAAAGATTTACTGTTTAAATGGGAATTGTATTATATTCCTTCCAAATTCTATATTTTTTTCATTCGAAAAGAGACAAAGATAAAGTGGTATTTTAAAAATTGGTGTTTTTTTATAGTTGATAGACAGACCAGTTAGATGATAATACTGTCGATTAGAAATAATATTATTTGAATAGCTTTATGAGCTAGTAAAAAATGAAATTCATAAATCTGTCTTTGTAGACATTAAGTACAGTACTGATGCGTTGTCGTTTTACGAGAGTCAAATGAAAGGAAAAAAACTTAACTGTACACGAGCACTCTTAGCACAAGGTTAACTGTGTTCAAATGAACTTTTCTCTTCATTCAAAGCAACGTTGTAAACTATAGGTACATCAGTTATTCCGTTGATAGTAAAGGTTATACAGACACGTAACACTGAGAAGCCGTTTGGTTGGTGTCGTTCTTCATCATTATATGGAGAGAACACGGAGGAAAAACTCTCTAACAGGCTTGTATATAATCTTATTCTGACCAGAATTTATTCATTTATTCGATTGGTTATTTAGTTTACATCCATCAAGTTTGTGCATGTCTTGCTCACCGAAAAAGTTTGATCGTTGCAAATATTAAAACGGAGCTTCAGGTAACGGTTTCGTGTAGGGTGGTCAAATTATATGTATAAGTAATCACATGATTTCGAGTGCAGTTTGGAATAAATAAGCACGATTAAATTTTTTCAAGACTAACAAAATTGCACGAGCCCGTTGGGTGAGTGCAATTTGTGGTCTTTGAAAAAATCAACAAGTGCTTGTTTATTCCAAATTGCACGAGAAAAATCATGTGACTACGTGTTTATAATATACATGGAAAAATACGAGATGGCTTATCATAATTAAGTAGAAGCAAAGCGCGCGCATTAAGTGCAAAAATAAATTATTCAAACCGTGCGTTCGGTCAAAACAATAATATGCAATGATATCTTCACATCTTTAAGGCGCAAACATTTCAAAGTCCGGCTAAACAGTTCAAGGAATTGTTCAGTCTGTGTCCGAATCACTTTCGATGAAATGGAATCCGAGGTTTAGTAGGATCGATCGAGCAGAGTGTTAAGCTGGGTCGGCTCGTAATTTTCGATTTCGTTGGCAATTCCCTTCTCTAAACACCACCTTTTCCAAACCGACAACCAAAAAGTAGTGCTTTTTACAGTGTTTTCGTTGTTTGAGCTGTTTTTCAGCTGCGGTGGCGAAAGAAAACCTGCTTAAAACGCCGGCTATTGTTTCGCTCGCAAATTCTCAAATTGTCAAATTTTTTTTTTGCGATATCTAAGGCTCGCATTTGATTGCCTATCTGTGAGTTTCTTTGACTATTTACCAATTATTATTATTTGAATATTTATTTTCTGATTTGTTACTTTCTTTGCACTGAGTTAACCCTCTTCTGCACTGAATTACCTGAAAACTGCAATTATCTAGACAATCACAACTGAGTAATTTTTCCGTGTATATTACTAGTAAGAAAACACGAGTCT